GTAAGGGAAGCATTGTGGACAAAATTCCACAGAGCATGGGGGTTGCAATCAGGAGATGGTATCTTGGGAAACTAACCTCATTTCGCTCATGGGGCAGCAGAGAACATTGTCTCTCAGTAGAGTTTGCCAGAAGGAAGAGCCCAAAAGCATGAAGAAAATAGTTTTCCTGAAACAATGTGGTCTTCAGTTGGGATGGCTAATTGGTGGCCTGTGGGCACTAGCCCCAAGAGTGTTTTGTTCTCTGTCAGAGCTTATTTACAGTTTGGCCTGCTTTTCCATCTAATGGAAGCGGGATACACAGCTTCCCCATCCCCTGGACTAGAATGTCTTTTGGAACCTGCACAATGATGGGCTCTGCTGCTAAAAGGAGTCCCCCCCCCCTTCCTGACCGGATGTCTTTGGGGAAGACACAAAATCAGCAGCTTAAGTAGGAAAGTGTTGGCATAATGGTAGATTGGGGGGGGGGGGTTTGCTACTTTTCATTAAATGGTTTCCAAGGAAGTGGGTGATAAAAGAATATAACACCCGTGCTGGTCATACCTTGCCTGTAGTACTGAGGATAGAACAGTCTTGTGGCACCTTTAATGAATGTTTCATTAACTTCCATAGGCAAAGCCCTGTTTCATTTTATGTAAAGTACTGCTGAGGCCATCTTTTAAAAGTTGGCTCCTAATAAATTGGACCAAGTGGTACTGCTGAGAGAAAGAGACAAGTGCAGTTACTCCTTCTACCAAACTTTGACAGCAGATGGGATTCATTTAAAGGTGGTTTGCTTGTTTATTTGTTTTTTCCTCATTAGGTAGTTGTGGCGGCTGTTGGATTTGCCTAGCCACTGTGAAAGGAATACAACAATTGCTCTGTGGTTTTCTATTTACAACCCTGTCTTTGTAACAAAGCTATCATCTCACACCTCTGCTAAGCCAATATTGTAACATTATCCCCTTGTTCTAATGCTTTCTAAACAGGCTCCTATGTGTAGTTATAAAAGGGGGGAGGGGCCAACAAAGCTGTGAAGTCTAGAAATAGCAGTGTCATTAAGAGAAGCAGACGTCTTCTCCCTTTATGTGTATCTGACTTATGGTTGAAAAGATGCTGTAGGAGAGGTGGAAATGACAAGCCCAGGATGTCATACGTTGGAAGCTATTGAACATTGTGAAGAGTGATTAAAGCTCTTCCCCTTTTCTATGAGAAAGAGGCAGAATTTTGGACAATGCCTGTCTCCTTTAGAGTTAATCGTCCCTGGTGGATGAAGTGCCAAGAAAGTGTTTCTGTGAAGAGGGCTGATGATTTGGTTTCTGTTGGCTGGAAGGAGGGGTGTTTGTGTGTGTCTTGACTCCTGACTCTGGTATTGTCTTTTGTCTTTGCCATGGAGGCAACTCAGATACCAAATTGGAGGCGGGTGAGGGGCTTTCAATTCAGGAAGCTATAAAGCACTTGAGCATCTTATTTAAAGTGGGCAATATACAGTCCTTTTGCTGTGCAATTGCCTACAGGGCTTGCAGGGAAGTGAAGATGCTGGGTAATGAGGGAAGGGGTGCTTAACCACAGCTGTGAGGTGTGGTGGTACATGGGTTATGTAAACATACACGTGGTTTTGTCAAATTATATGCAGGAAAAATAGAAGCAGACGGAGAAAGAGTGCATGCTACATATTTTGTGGTCTGTACAAAGGACTGGAACCTCTTTAACTGCAACTGCTTGTAGGAGAGATATAAAGCTAACCCAGTACAAGATTGGCCCATACCACTATTCATATTCCTGGGGTTGCTAATTTCAAATGTAAACACACACCCCATTTTAAAAAGTTAATCTCAGCTTTTTAAATTTACCTTTATTAAGCCTTCCTTGGTGCTGGGGAAAATATCCAGAACCGTCCCAAGTTTAGTGGAAACTAAACAAAATCCTATACCTCAGTGTGCAGTGCTTGCCTGTATTCTGTACCTCAGGACAGGTAGGCTATTCTGAAAATTTTTAATTTGCCATTTAAAATGCTGGAAAGGGAAGCACCCAGAAAATGTCAAAAGGCATGTGTCTTTTGTGAAGTATACTATACTGTACAGAGACTGCAGCCCTACCTTGTCTGAATTCAGAGGAGGCTGGGGTAGGGACTCCTTACTTTCAAAGATCCAACTTGCTAACCCACACAATTCCTGTTCCTGCAGAGGGTAAAAAAAACTACAGGAAAATTACCAGAGGTGATGTGGGAGACTAGTTATTTTCAGAAAATGGCCTGATTAATTTCTTAAGGTGTACCATTATATAGAAGATTTATTGGCTAATTTATATGTTTATACATATGCTTCAGTAAATCTGTTAAGAAGGCTTAGGACATTTTGTTTATAACAGACTAACACAGCTATCCTACTGAAATTAAGAAGTAATTATTATTATTACTGCCATTATTGAAATGTACTCAGTACTGTGCACACACAATACAAAATAAAACAAGCATGCCTACATTAAGTACGTCTTCTTTAAACATTTTTGCATCTGTTTTAACAAAAACTCCCCATCACCTACCATTTAAGCAAATATAAAACTTGTTTAGAAACCAATTGTGTTTAAAAAAAGATTCTGGTTTCAAACTAAATCCATCCACTTTATAACAAGGACTAAAAAAGACAGGAGTTATTTCTGACCTTTTCTTTTAACAGAATAGTGCATAAGTAAAATAAATCCTGGTGAACTATATAACAAAGAATATAGAGAGTTTACTTTTCCTTTTGCAGCTCTTTCTAAAGAATCCGAGTTTGTTGTTTATTTACTCCTCAAGAACATAAGAACATGAGAGAAGCCAATTTTGGATCAGGCCAATGGCCCATCCAGTCCAACACTCTATCACACAGTGGCCAAAAATACCAGGTGCCATCAGGAGGTACACCAGAGGGGCCAGGACACTAGAAGTCCTCCCACTGTTGACCCCCCCACAAGCACCAAGAACACAGACCATCACTTTCCCCAGACTGAGAGTTCCTATCTATACCTTGTGGCTAATAGCCACTGATGGACCACTGCACCATATATTTATCCAATTCTCTCTTGAAGTCGTCCATGCTTGTAGCCGCCGCCACCTCCTGTGACAGTGAATTCCACGTGTTACTCACTCTTTGGGTAAAGAAGGACTTCCTTTTATCCATTCTAACCTAACTGCTCAGCAATTTCATGGAGTGCCCATGAGTTCTTGTATTGTGAGAAAGGGAGAAAAGTACCTCTTTCTCTACCTGCTCTTTCCCATGCATAATCTTGTAAACCTCTATCATGTCACCCATAAATCCTTTCTCCAAGCTAAAGAGCCTCAAGCGCTTTAACCTTTCTTCATAGGGAAAGTGTTTCACCCCTTTTATCATTCTAGTTGCCTTTTTATGCACTTTTCCCAATGCTATAATATACTTTCTGAGGTGTGGTGACCAGAATTGTACACAGTATTCCAAATGAGGTCACAACATCAATTCATACAGGGGCATTATGATACTGGCTGATTTGTTTTCAGTTCCTTTCCTAATAATCCCAAGCATAGCGTTGGGCCTTTTTATTGCAGTCACACACTATCTCGACATTTTCAGTGAGTTATCTACTACGACTACAAAATCTCTCTCTCTTGGTCAGTCTCTGCCAGTTCGGATCCCATCAGTGTGTATTTATAGTTAGGAGTTTTGGCCCCAATGTGCATCACTTTGCTCTTGGCTACATTGAACCCCATTTGCTATGTTGATGCCCACTCACCCATCCTCGACAGATCTCTTTGAAGTGCCTCACAATCCTCCCTGGTTTTCACCACCCTGAACACCACTCGTTGTAAGCCGCCCTGAGCCTTTGGGGAGGGCAGGATATACTTCCAAAAATAAATAAATAAAATAAGATAAATAAACAATTTCATGTCATCCGCAAATTTTAGCCACTTCACTGCTTTCTCCCAACTCCAAATCATTAATGAACAAGTTAAAAAGCATTGGACCCGATACTGATCCCTGTGGTACCCCACTCCCACTGCTTACCACCCTCCACTGAGAGAATTTCCCATTTATACTCACTCTCTGTTTCCTATTAATTAGCCAGTTTTTGATCCACAAGAGGACTTGTCCTATTATCCCGCGACTATTGAGCTTACTTAGTAGCCTTTAATGAGGATCTTTATCAAAAGCTTTCTGGAAGTCAAGGTGTAAAGTACATCGATTGGGTCCCCCTTGTCCACATGTTTGTTCACTCCCTCAAAAAACCCTGATAGGTTAGTGAGACAAGATCTTCCCTTACAGAATCCATGTTGAGTCTGCCTCAATAGTTTTCTCAATAATACCTACTAATTCTTTCCTTAATAACAATTTTCCACCAACTTACCCGGTATCGACGTCAGACTGTCTGGCCTGTAATTTCCTGGATCTCCTGTGGAACCCTTTTTAAAGATGGGAGTGACATTAGCTACCTTCCAATCCTCAGGCAGATTTTAATGAAAGATTACATATTTTTGTCAGGAGATCCACAAGTTCACATTTGAGTTCTTTCAGAACTCTCGGATATATGCCATCTGAGCGTTGGTGATTTATCAGTTTTTAAGTTGTCTATCAGTCGTAGGACCTTTTCTCTCATCACCTCAATCTGACTCAGGTCTTTCAACACCCCTTCCAAAATCAGCGGTTCTGGAGGGGGCAAGCACTTCTCATCTTCCACAGTGAAGACATAGGCAATAAAATGCATTCAGGTTCTCAGCCATTTCCCTATCACCCTTTAGTACTCCTTTTATGCCTTGTTCATCCAAGGGCCCCACTGGCTGGTTTCCTGCTTCTAATCAGGGCTGGCTCTTCCACTAGGCCAACTAGGGCACCTCCCGCCAGCCCCCAGTATGGCTTTCTGGGCCCCTGCTCCACAGCGCGCCCCTTCCTGCTGGCTCGCTTTGCCTCACGCCCCCGCCGAGGCTCCATCAAAGTTAATAGGGAAAGGGCACAGCTCACCAAGAACAAAACGGGGCCAAGACAGTGGCAAAGCTCAGTGCCTTCAGACCCACCATGCCCCCCCAGCGACAGCAGGCGCAACCCGAGCCAGCCAAGCCCGTCCACCTTCTGACGCCGGGACTGTCTTCCCCCGAGGCCAGAAGAGTGAATGGGAGGGAGGGAGGGAGGCAGGCAAATCTGCACCCTTAAAGAGACGGAAGTCCTTGGGGGGGGTAGATTCTCGGGTCAGCAGGGAAAGGCCACCGGCCGCCAGCTGGAAGGTGGCAGGGCATCCCCGAAGGGCCCTGCCTGGCTGGCTAACCCAGAGAGAGCAGCAACGACCACACTGGAAAGCCAAAGGGCAAACGGGGGGGGGTTGCCTCTGCGAAGAACTGCGTGTCCCGCCGGGCTGCCAGGTCCCTCTTCATCCCCTCCGGGTGACATTGGAGGGGCGTTCCGGAAGGTGATGGGCCGTTCCCAAAGCAACAAAGCCCCAAGGGGGAACTTCCCCACTCCCAGCCTCGCCCCCCTCCAGTGGCATCCCCTTCCCTCCCACAACTCAGTTTCAAGGGACCGGCGATGCTACTGGGAGGTCAGGCACCCTAGAAGCTCTGCAAGGGTCCTCACGCGGCTAAGAGATCTGAGATGCTCATCTTCGGTGAGGGGGTGCCACAAGCTAGCCTCGCCTAGTGCACAAAAAAACCTCGGGCCAGCCCTGCTTCGAATGTATTTGAAGGAAGTTTTATTGTTGGTCTTTATGTTTTTTGCAATATGCTCTTCATATTCCCTTTTTGCCTGCCTGATCACAGACTTGCATTTTATTTGCCACAGTCCGTGTTCCCTTTTATCACCCTCACTGAGACTAGCTTTCCACTGTTTAAAGGAATCCTTCTTTCATTTTACAGCTTCCATTACTTCGTTTGTTAACCATGCAGGCCTTTGTCTATACGTATTTGTGCCTTTCCTAACTGGTGGTATATATTTTTTCTGAGCTTCAAGGACTGTAGTTTTAAATAGTCTCCAAGCTTCACCAATGGTTTTGACCCTTTCTACTTTTCCTTTCAGTTTCCTCCTCACATGTCCCCTCACTTCAGAGAAGTTACCCCTTTTAAAGTTAAAAGTGGTTGTGTTTGTCTTTCTGGGCAACTCCCTATTTATACAAATGTTGAACTCAATAACATTATGGTCACTGTTTCCAAGCTGTGCAATCGCTTTTACATCTCTCACCAGGTCTTGGGTGTTTCTTAGGACCAAATCCAGTTTTGCCTCTCCCCTGGTAGGTTCTGTGACCATCTGCTCCATAGCACAGTCATTAAGACTGTCTAGAAACTCAATCTCTTTTTCCCGACTTGAACATATATTGACCCAATCAATGCGTGGGTAGTTAAAATCACCTATTACGACACAGTTATTTCGTCTAGCTGTTATCTTTAATTCATTCATCATTTTATAATCCTCCTCTATCTTTTGATCTGGTGGGCGATGATAAACTCCCAGTATTAAGCTTCCTTTTGGGCTGACTATTTCAACCGATAGCATTTCCTTGACTCTATGAATTTAATTTTTACTGATTGTCTTCTATAAAGCCATATTTTAGGCTGCATTCAGATGTCTGTCTTGACCTGCAACTAAGTAAAAATGTGCATAAGTTTGTTTTGTTTTGTCTTGGTCTTCTGCCCCCCTCACGGGAATGACAGTTAATGGTACTTTTAGTTACCAAATGTAGGCACACTGGGTAACTGTCGTGTCCCCCCCCCCGATCCTAACCCAAGTTTTAATGCAGCCTTAGAGTTCCAGTTAGTGGGGGGGGGGGAGAACTAACTCTGTATCCAATCATACCTTGAGTTATACAAAGAAGAATATTTTGCAGTTCCACCTCACAAGATTATTCTGTTGCTAAACTGCTCTTTTATATATTACATACTTACATATATTAAACATGAAGAACTCTAATTTCGTATCATTTAATTCCATTCCATAAATGATGGTGTGAATTATTGTTCTTTCTCTTCCTTCTGACATCCTTATAAATATTTGAGAAGTAATAATACTGAACTTGTGAAGTTGCCTTATACTGACTTATACCATTGGTCTATAAAGGTCAGTATTGTCTACTCTAACTGGTAGCAGCTCCCCACAGTCTCATGCAGATGTCTTTCACATCACCTACTATCTGATCCTTTTAAGTAAAGATGCTGGGGATCGGACCTGAGGCCTTCTGCATGCAAAGCAAATGTTCTATCACTGAGCCACAGCCTCCTCTCCTTTCGCCCTTTAAATGTCTTTCTTTGGGCCAAACATTCCTATTTGATTTTCTTTTGAGGTTCTTCTGATTGCTTCACAGGTGAACCAACATGCCTTCAGACAAGTATTAAACAGTTTAATACATCTGATGGGGATTGTTTGTAAGCCAAAGATGGGGAATCAGTGTAATGGCCAAAACGCTGAAGAACTAAGCTTGATAGACAGTAGTTCAAAAGCGGAACTACTGATGCTAAGGACATTTATACCTACTTGCTGCCTCTACCCTGGCTCTCCTTTTCTTCGGTGCGGTGGATACCCTTTGCTGTGTGTGTGTGTTCCCAGCAGCCATTGCAAAACTCCAAGGGATTTAGTCATGAAGTGGGGGGAGGGAGAGATGTTAAACAAGCTTTTCCCTAATGAGCTGTGACGCCAGCTGGAGACGAAAGAAAAAGGCATATTCTCTTGTCCACTACTCTGTGAATCTACGGATCTGTGTGTCTCCAGCTTTCACCCCCTCCCATTGGTCCATTACATGCACACACTGCTGATTTGCTGGCTCTTCTGTATCTTTTCTGCTCTGTCCCCAAAGCATTTTGGCAAGGTTCAGATTTCTGTGCTCACAGCTCAGTGCTCAAGGAGAAAAGGGGGAAAACAAAGGACTGAGAGGGATGTGAAGGGAAGCACTTATTGCTTTATCCCAAGACCGAACACTGTGCAGTAGACTTAGAATCCTGTTCTTTCTTTCTTTCTTTCTTTCTTTCTTTCTTTCTTTCTTTCTTTCTTTCTTTCTTTCTTTCTGCTGGTTTCTTAAAAGTAACATTTGCTGTCTTTTAAAAGAATCATCTGCAGAAACACACATGCTGGCTACTCTCTCACATTGGCCTCCATTAGAACTGAAGCCATTATTTCTTTAGCATTTTCCTCTTATACTTAGGGTTTTAACAATGCAAGTTAGTCCATCAAAGACATTCTCCAATTCTCCAACCTCATAATTGTTTACCATGTAGGTTTGGTCCTTAGTATGATCACAGGTCTAAACCTCTCCAAATAGATCTTTAATCCTATCTGTCCCTCACCTCACAAGTGGGGATTTTGAAGAAATGCTGTTTACATGGACATTGGTAGAGATACAGTATTTCCACATGTATTACAGTACAAGCAAGAGAGGCATAGCAATAAGCATTACAGCCACAGATAAAAAGGGTACGGATGCAAGTGAGTTAGGCAATTGTGTAAACTCAGCAATTAGGTACAAGACTCTGTTCTTCTTGGTAGAGAAATAATTTCAATAGCTTCAAGTAAGTCTCTTTGCTTCACATGAAAAGGCGCTAAATGACAAAACCAATCATTGTAATGGAGGCTATCAAAAGTATATGTGCAATATATAGATAGATCTGCCTTCTAGGTAGAAGTTGTGGGTATGTGTTCAGTACAGTAAGCTCCTGGTTCTCAGGGAATGGATTTGTATATTTGAGGCTAAACCTAGGGCAGAAGAGTATGTAAGCAAGGCTTTAAGGACCTACTAGAAGTGTCATGCTCCCCTCGTGACTTCTGTGATGTGAAGAAGAATGGTAGGTCTTGAGTTGGAGGAGGGTATCAGGTTGAAGAAAAGGCAAAATATCCCTCAGAATGGATCCATTTCTCAAATAGCAAACAACTATCCTTTGTGCAGATGATATCCCTCTAGGATTTGGGAGGATGAGGTCTCTTGGTAGTGGGAAACTGTCACTTTAGGAATGTAGAGAGATGGGTCTGTGGTGGGCATTTTTACCAGACAATGACATGCCTACCTGGGGCAGTGGTTGTGGACATTATATTCTGTTTTGACAGGCTGCTGTGTAATATTGGGGGGTGGGTCATGATGCACATCTGCTCCGTAAGGATTGAGAAATATAGTCATATGGTCCTGGAGGGAAAAAAAAATAGGTTGCTAGCCAGGTAATTGAAGTCCATGTCCTCCAAGGTAGCATTCTCTGAAATGTTGTCTTCCATTTTGTAGGACCAGCTAGTCAAGTAGAGATTAGGTGGTATTTCAATATGTGGATGAGACTGTGGCAGTGGGAGGAAGGGTATGGGTTTGATTAGTGCTGGGGAACATTTCAGGAATGATACAAAGGAGGTGGGTTCCACTTGAACTGAAATAGAAAGATGGTGCTTATTATCAAAAAGGTTACAGAGCTGCTGTTAACCTGAGGAAAAACCAGCATGAACTATTGGGCATCTTGTTGAGTTTGACTTGGTTGTTAATGGATGATGGGTATAGATGTTCTAGATAATCTAGATGGAGACAAGTTTAGAACTTGATGGTAAGAATATGTCAGGAAATGACAACTGTGTATGAGTAAGACCATGGGATCGTAGGGGGAAATGTATACACCAAGGGCACTTGGGAAAGTAAGCAAAATATAGGTGTTTATGTGGAAATACTAGAAACTTCTGAATTAAGATGGAGGAACTGCAGTGTCTGATGTTAAATGGGAACTTAGATGTAGTGGATGTTTTAAATGCAGTAGTTGGGGGTATGGGGAAAGTCAGTGGGATATGGCTGTCCCTGGATATAAGCTATATAGTAAGGACGGGGAAAAGATATAGTGAAGGTGGTACAGTTCTATTTGTTAGAGAGGGCATGGAGTCAAGTAAATTTAAGAGGCAGAGTCTTTCCCCAGAATCTTTGAGGGTGGAAATACCAGATCCAAAAGGTAACTTAATATTTGGAGCATTCTGTCATTTGTTTAACCAAAACTTTCAAAGTGTTCATGAAGTGAAGGAAGAAATCAGAAAGGCAACCCAAAAAGAATTTTTAAAATAATGGGTTGTTGAGGATTCTGGGGGAAGTCAAACACAGTTTTTGACTCCCAAACAAAAATATGTCACTTGAGCCTAAAATTGGCCTCTCCCCCCCCCCAAAAAAAGTTCAAAATACAGGTTTTAAAAAAGGAATTCAGAGAAGATCCTAGAAATTCAAGACCAGTTAGCCTGTCTGTTCTAGTTAAATTGGTAGCATTAGAGGAACAAATCATATTGAGGAAGAATTAGTATGGCTTCTGTAAAGGAAAGTCGAGGTTCACTGTCCTTTTGGGGGCAAGAATTCTTTGAAAGGGTTTCAGTAAACACATGGGCAAGTTCCTTACCACCAGGAGTAAATTTAGCAGTCATGAGATAAAAGGATGGATCCTCTTGGATTAGAAACTAGTTACAGTAAGCAGAAAGTAGGAATAATTATACAGTTCCTCCAATGAAGGCAAGTAAGTAGTGGGGTTTCATAGGGATCCATATTGGGACTGGTGCTGTTAAATTTGTTCATCAATCATGTGGAATCAGGAGTGAGTAGGAAAGTGGCCAGGTTTGTGGATGACACCAAATTATTTAGGATGAAGAGAACAAAAGTGGGTCATGAATATCTCTAAAAGGTTATTTCCAGGTGGGGTAAATACTATAATTTGTGTAACCCAGGAAAATTAATGGACAGAAAATTCAGGAGGGACAAAAGAAGTACTTCACTCAACTTGTGGAATTCATTCCAGATTACTTTGTGGAGTTCATTGCCAGAACATGTAGTGATGGATACTTAAGTTGGCTTTAAAATGGGACTAGAAAGATTTGTGGAGGATGGGTACAGCAATGGCTACCTGCTATGATAACTTAATGGAACGTCCATGTTCAGCAGTAGTAACATTTGAATACCAATGTTGGTGGGGGGTAGTAACAGGCAAGGGCTTTGGTTTCTGTTCTCTGCTTGTACATGTTATCTGGCTCGCTACTGAACAAAGCAGGATACTAGCCTAAATGCACCATTGGTTTGATTCAGCAGAGCTTCTCCAATGTTCACTGATGTGGGGGGAGCTCAGACTTGTGTTCATATCAGTACATGTCATTGCTGTTTGGTTCTGGAAATATGTAGATTAGCTAGTGTCAGGCTAGAATCAGAGAGATCCAAATTCAACTACCCATATATCCATGAATCTCACTGGGTGTCCCCAACCCAGTCATACACTCATGAGTATTTGGTCAAGACTGTTGTAAAACGGAAGAGATGAGAAACATTAAGCTTGTCTAAGCTCCTTGGTGGGAGGGTGGATGAAAATATAACAGATGGACAGAGAAAATTAAACTATAACCAAGATAGTCCAGGCTGAACCCTGAGTCATTTTAAAGTTTATATTTAAAACCATGCTTAAAATACCCCAGCAGCTTGGCTTGACCCTGACACTATCACTATATAGGGTTAGAACAAAAAAGAAGCAGTAACTGTAGCTGCCAAGTCAACAGGAGGCTTGAGGAGAACATTGCCACCATCCCAGCCTCCTTGCTGCTGTTGAGAGAAGAATGAACTGGATAGGAACAAACCACAGGTGGCTGAGCCTGAATGAAGAAGTTCCACTCCTGACTGACAGCATTCAGGGGGAGTATTTTGCTCAAGGCTATTCAGTGAATTTGTATCATCTACATAATTCACTACTTGAGCTAAATCAGAATAAACGATGCAGTCAAAGCAAAGGGCACAGAGAGATGCATGGCAATGAAGCCCAGTTTCTGGCCACAGGAAATCGGGCAGCCACTTCTCTAACTTCTGATCTGAAATCTCAGACTTCAGCAGGCATTGTCCACACAATTTCAAACCTATGTTTTGCAACCATAAGAGCAAAAAAATTGTTCCCTTAAAAAATGGAAGAGATCCTGTATTGTGTTCCTAGTAGTATATTCTGCAGCTTTTCTGTGCTACAACTGAATCGCTGCATACACAGCGATTATACACATACATAATCATGATTATACATCTTTTTCAAAGTTTATTCATGATTCCTTGTAGTGCATTAAGACAGTAGAAGACCAAGAGAAAGGAAACAGTTTGAACTGAAGACTAATATAAAGTATTACCAGCTCCCCACCACCACCACCATGGTTGGTACCAAACTTGAGGGTCCATGGTGTGTTTGACTTGAGTTGGAAGACCAAATGTGAATTCCAACTCAACTATTATCTTGGTGGCTTTGGACAAAGCATACCGTCAATTTCTATCTGTAGATCAAGAACAATAACTTCACATACTTTGTTTTGAGAATGGATAAAATACAGATTATAAAGCATTTAGCACACTGGTTATGAATCCCAGTGGTATCTATTCTGCTCTCACTGTGGCTGAAGCCACTTTGGGAAGAAGAAATTTGGAGAAATTAATTAATTTGTTTCTTTTATTAGGAACTTGAAGCAGCTCTTTACAGTGATGATGTGGATTTCATCAGTGATCTGATTGCCTGTCTTCTTCAGGGCTGCTATCAGCGCAGTGACATTACGTGAGTAGTCTCATTTCATGGCTTAAATACTTTTAGAAATAAAGTTTCTAAATAAAGTCCCCCCACATATGTGCCCCAGAGATCTTTGCGCTCTGCGAATCAAGACCTGCTGGTAATCCCCGGACCAAGGTACGTCTGTTTAGTCTTGATCAGGGCCAGGGCATTCCTCAGGGCCTGAAAACAGAGCTGTTCTGCCAGGCCTTTGGCTGAGGTGGTGGACATCCAATAAAATCTTGGCCTCCCCAGCTGAAGCTGAAGCTACCATCTCAAATGGCCCAGGTTAAGAAGTTGGAGAGCAATGGAGCCAGCTGGAAACCTCTGTATGAGGATAAATAGTGCGCTCTGTTTTAATTTATGTTGTTTAAAATTGTCTTAATTGTTTCTATTTATACTTTATATGTTTGAGATTTTTGGTATGTTTTTGATATTGTGCTGTGATCCTCCCTGAGCCTGCTTGCGGGAAGGTGGAATGTAAATTTGAATAATAAATAAATAAAATAATAAAGGGGCAAGGGGTGTTGCACAGCTTCTATGGACTATTTCAGCTGCCAATTCATCAAACATATGGAGCAGAGGTCCATCAGTGGCTATTAGCCACAAGGTATAGATGGGAACTCTCAGTCTAGGGCAAGTGATGCTCTGTATTCTTGGTGCTGAGGGGGGGGCAACAGTGGGAGGGCTTCTAGTGTCCTGGCCCCACTGCTGGACCTCCTGATGGCACCTGGTATTTCTGGCCACTGTGTGACAGAGTGTTGGACTAGATGGGCCATTGGCCTGATCCAACATTGGCTTCTCTTATGTTCTTATGAAAAGGCAGGTGTTATACCCTGAGTGTTGAGGTAAGTATCAGATGAATGCTAAAAGCTTTCTCCTTGAATGGCTGTAAGTGTTCTGTTCTCAGATGCTTTAAAATGCTGTTTTCTTAGATCCCATATTCTGGTTACTCGTGACTGGAATATTTATGTGATTTTGGTGCCCTTCCTATAGTGCTATGTGGTTAGGTGTGGTTCCCCATTTGACCATGTATGGCCGCATGATGTTTCCTCCATTGGCATTTCAGAGTAGAGATGGGCACAAACCGAATTACAAACTGAAATTCATGACGAACCAGGCCCAGTTCATTGTTTGCAAACCTCTGTTCATGCCATCCCACCATCACAAGCCACATAAACCTTCCAGTTGGGTTTGTTTGGTTCGTGTCAGCAGCACCCACTTGCAAAAGCCATTTAAAGGGAACCAGGAGGTTCATCTTGGTTATTGATTTGTGGTACCTCATGAACCACGAACTGGGACGAATTTCCATTTTCCTGGTTCGTGCCTATCCCTATTTCAGAGAGGTAGCACAGGAGCCTTGTGCAGGCCATATTGAAATGAGCTGTAGCACTTAGTAATATAAAATTGTACAAAGCGATTGCATTGACTCTTATCCATAGCTTTTAAAGTCTTGAGTTGCTTTTTTCCTCTGCATCCCTTGTAAGCTGCCTTGTTGGCCAAAACTGTGTGGAAAGATGGGATAGGAATTTAATCAGTAAAATCAAATTTGTGTGCTTTTCAATGTATAGCTGTTTCCTTTTAGTATTATGCAAGCTGATAGTTCTTAATGAACGATAAAAGTATTCTAATGATATTTTACTATATAGATATTTCTAGAACACTGTTAAATATTCTAATATAGTATTGAGGTTAGCCTAGCTAACATGTATTGTGGCTCTGAGGGGGCAGGGTTTGAAGAATTTAGCTGCACTGGGTCTCATAGTACATTTGCTGGTAGTCCACCTGCTTTCAGAAGGGAGCAATACATGTATCATTGTTCTGTAATGTTCCATAACACATGGGCAGAACTTATTTTCAAAATAGAATTAGTAAAAACTGGTCATGGACATTCTACTTGGTCACAGGGTATAGAAAGCGAAACAAGCAGTCCGTTAAATCAGAGAAGATTCTGTATGCTTGCTATAGAGCATCTAACCCTTTTTAGTTACCAGCAGTTTCCAGTGAAATATTTGTTGCTCATCCTCATCCCTGTAAGATCAAAGCTGTATATTCTAAGGCACATTCCACTTTGAATGGCAGTTTCTGACTGAAATGGGGAATATAAAAGGAGCTCAATCAAGAAGATTGTGTCTTATTCTTTACGCCAAGGACATGCAAGCTGTCATCAGCATGCCAGTGTCAGAAAGGTACTTAACTAAACTACTGCCCCTACGATAAATACTACCTGTCCACCTAAGGATGGTTTAATTTTTATACAGTGATTTACATCTACAGCATGTGCCTTATTATTTATTTATATTTTCTTGCACAGCATGTAAAAATTGTTGACTGGGCTGTGGAACTGCCTGGCTATTGTTTTCTGTATGCTGCATGATTAAAGTACTTCTGCTAATTATAATGTACTCCAAAGTAATTTTGGAAATGGAAGCCTAGCTGAGAACCATTCTGGTGAACAATTTAAATGTACTTTAGGTTAATTTGCCTATTTGTCTTGGAATGAAAACATGCGTGAAGGCTGTGCTGCTGCATTGCAAGTCTTCGGGATTATTTTGGTTTTAAAATGTTCTTTGTTTTTAGAAAAATGAATCTGGTTGAAACTATCTTTTTGATAAGTGTGCTGCAAGGCAGCAACGTTTAAAATATCAAATTATCAGAAGCGCTTGAATCGCTTGAAAGGATTACATCATTGTGTGCTCTTTTAAATGGTCTGTATCTAGTAGTAGTTTTTAAAGTATTTGAGTACCCTGTCCTGCAGCTTCTCATATATACCCTCATTGTTTGGCTTCCATTCCATTTCATTTGATGCAAGTGGAAAAGTCCCATGCTCATTCTTGGGGCTGAGAAGAAAGGAAACTGAAAAGACAGTTCAGAGTAACAAGCATGTGTGATTTCTTTGGCTGATGTGTGCCTAGGAGTAGTAGCCCAGTTGAGACTTCAGAGAGTGCTGACTTTAGGGATTTAACAAACCAGTGAAAATATTAGGTGGGGGGTGGGGAGACTAAAGAGTTCCTGTTGGCCAATATGAAGCAAAAAGTTAGATTGGTCTCTGTTGATGTCAGCATTTATGCCTTGGTAATATATTGCATATTTTACAGATATCATATGCATTCAGTAAGCCAAGGTATCCTCAAGTAGACTTTTAAAGGTTTTTTATGACTCCTCATTCAGTAAGCCAAGGTATCCTCAAGTAGGCTTTTAAAGTTTTTTTATGACTACCTGAATATTTATATCTCACAATAATAATGTATGAGATCCTCATTCTGCATGTGCAATCAATAGCTGCATTCTAGGATATTGTCTTGGAGTGGATTAGAGATATGAAATTATGAAGCAAAATGAGGCCTCTGTGGCAAAGGTTCCTTTCTTGAATAGAAGGGCATTCTCAAACTTCTTGAACCTGGGAGACCAAACTTTTTGGACTGAGCTTGTGCAAGGAGGATGTGATAACAACATGACCAGGATAATTTGGCCAGTGAGCATTTTCACCAGGACAGTTTGGGCTCCAATACTCCAAAACTTGGCCATATCTTGCCTGGTAGGAACAGCATGAGATGCATGGCGAGCACTGAGGTGTTCACCATAGAGAGTGATTGAAAAAATGTGGTGTTTGAAGACAGGCTGGGCAACAATGATAGGGAAGGCTTTCACTAAATGGATTTTCATTTTTTAGTTCTTTCCTTAGAGGATACCACGTGAGTAAATATAAAGAAAAATGGCTAAAAGGAAGGTTTATATAGGAACTGCTATACCATTTTAGAAAATAGTATTACTAGAAAAACTTTCCTATTATTTTTCAGCATTGTCCCCAAATGAAAACTGCTTATTGGGAGAAGAAATGTGTTACCTAAAAAAATGTTTTCCTTTCTAGCTTTTTAGAATATGTCTTAACTGACATAAATGTTTTTATTAAAGTCCAAGATCTGTTTCTCCACTATGCAATATTTCAGTCTAAATCTTCCGGCAAAGGTGAGGGGAACTTTGCTCACAATGTTTGGATATAGTTTTGCCTTACTTTGTTTTGTGAATTTATGGAGCTTATCCAGCTAATGTCAAGGAACTTCTTTTGGGAGATCTTGCATAGTTATTATGGATATCTGGTCCAGCTGAAAGAGATACGTTTGTAGCAGGATATTCTAACTATTAATTGCTAAGAACATCTTCTCTAGGCTGAATTTGGTGCAAGGGTATCGGTATGGCTTAGCAGGAAAACAGTTCTCTGTTGTCAGATATTTATGCTGTGCGTGAGGGAAGCAGTTCCATATAATCAAGCCCTTTCCTAGATGTGTGTTTTGGCAATGACCTCACTGCTCTTCCTCCTCCTTTCCCATTTTCCTCCTTTTTTGTGTAGCAATGAAACTGGCCGGCTTTAGCTGTCATCTCTAGGTTAAGTGGCTGCATTTGCTTCTGTCAAGTGCATACATGTGTCTGCGATGTGATCTGTTATTAGATTAGACGGCTCCCATTGGCTCTCTGTTCCCCCAGCTTCCCTAAGGATTTTGCTCTGCTCCAGTGCTGTTCCAGGTCTATCTGTGGGAGTGGTGTGGGAGTCATTGCATCAAAGGCTTCCTTCCCTGGCTGTGAGCTTTTAGTTACAAAGGTCTGTTTGTGAGGAGGGTGGGAATGGGGGTATTTTAAATGTGCATCTTACATGAGAAGCTGAATAGTTTTTGGTTTAAACCAGTTAGCACCTTTCCCCTCTAAGGACTGCTGGTTACAAAATAGTTTTATATTCACACAAAATGCACATGCCTTGTGTCAACTATGAAGTGTGCACGTGTAGAAAACCTTCAACACACCCATGAGCAGTGGCTGTGAAAGAATCAGGGTGGATGTTTTCCCTGATTGGTGATGTGTAGGAGGAGGGGAAAAACAACATGTGGTATTATTATTCAAGAAACATTCTTACTTATTCAAGAAACTTACCTGAATGTCCTAATGCTCTTCCTCTACATCAGATTTTTCTGCTCTCATTTTACAGCTTCTTCTCTGGGGAAATTCTTTCCAAC